CAATTATATTCTTCGAAATTGTGTATACATGTAGCCAAGAGTGTGCTAATAGTGTTAGCCTTTTGCCGTCAGAAAGTATTTTGACCCACTTTTGAGATATGGTGTCCGAAAAGTAGGTCAAAATAAAAAAATCCCCAAATTTAACGTATGAGTTATGAATTAGGGGTAGCATTTTGTCAGGAATCCGAATCTGCAAACCAAATTTCGATCTGACTTCCAGTTCGGAAGTTATGGCGTGTCCAAAAAGTAGGTCAAAATAAAAAATCTCCAAATTTAACGTATGAGTTATGAATTAGGGGTAGAATTTTGTCAGGAATCCGAATCTGTAAACCAAATTTCGATTTGACTGCCGGTTCGGAAGAAATGGCGTTTTGAAATTTCGGAAAAATCGATCTGATGGTATCCTGATAGAAAGTCAAGAGTAGAGAAGAAAATATTGAAAAATTCATCCATCCTTCCTATCTGATCCTATCCTATCCTTCCTATCTATCCTTCCTTCGTATCTTTTCCTTCCTATCCTATCCTATCATATCCTTTCTTCCTATTCAATCCTATCCTTCTTTCTTATTCTATCCTATCGTCCCCTCCTATTCTATCCTATCCTACCTTCCTATTTTATCCATCCATCTTTTTCTGGATGACTCAGCTTATTCTGGATGACTCGGCTTATTTTGGATGACTCGGCTAAAAAGGTCTGAATCTGGAGTCTGAAATTGAACTCGTTCAATTTCCAAAGTCTAGTTATTATTATTATTATTTTTCTTTAAGCGTTTTTTCAATAACTATAAGGTATCCAGTAAAGATCATAATACAGTTTATTTAGGTTCAGTATCTAGTTGGTGGGAAATTGGGTCAAATTTTTATCTAGGTCAAAGGTCAAGAACTAGGTCAAATCCAGTACTTTGTCACTTTTTTCGATTTTCTCGGTCGTCCTTCAATATTTTTGATCCAGGTTTTTTTCATTGTGTTCCTTATAAAAAAGTAGGAAAGCTAGGGTCGATTTAGTTTTTTGATATCTCAAACCGATTTCGAGATATCAGTGTCCGAAAACGAGGTCCAAAAAAAAGTTCTCCGAATCAAATGTCCAGGATATCAGTCTTATAGGAAATTTTCTCAGGATTCCGAATCTGAAAACCAAATTCAAATCAGACTTCCTGTTCGGAAGTTATGGCGTTTTGAAAGCTCAAAAATCGCTAAATTTGGTGCCCATGTTAAGTCAATGGGAAAAAAGATTTTTTTGAAGTGAAAAATACGAAATATAGACTGAGTTCAGCTTCATATAATCAAAGCCTTTCAAAGAAGTGGACCTCAAAAGCCACATAGCTTCAAAATTTGGACACCAAAATGCCTAGGTCAAAATCTAGGTCAAATTCAAAGTTTTTTCTTATTTTTGCGATTCTGACACTACACTTTAATTATATTCTTCAAAATTGTGTATACATGTAGCCAAGAGTGTGCTAATAGCGTTAGCCTTTTGCCGTCAGAAAGTATTTTGACCCACTTTTGAGATATGGTGTCCGAAAAGTAGGTCAAAATAAAAAGTTCTCCAAATTTAACGTTTGAGTTATGAATTAAGGGTAGAATTTTCTCAGAAATCCGAATCTGTAAACCAAATTTCGATCCGACTTCCGGTTCAGAAGTTATGGCGTGTCCAAAAAGTAGGTCAAAATAAAAATTCGTCAAATTTAACGTATGAGTTATGAATTAGGGGTAGAATTTTGTCAGGAATCTGAATCTTTAAATCAGATTTAGATCCGACTTCCGGTTCGGAAGTTATGGCGTTTTGAAATTTCGGAAAATCGATCTGATGGTATCCTGATAGAAAGTCAAGAGTAGAGAAGAGAATATTGAAAAATTCATCCATCCTTCCTATCTGATCCTATCCTATCCTTCCTATCTATCCTTCCTTCGTATCCTTTCCTTCCTATCCTCTCCTATCATATCCTTTCTTCTTTTTCTGTTATATCCTATCCTTCTTTCTTATTCTATCCTATCGTTCCTTCTCATTCTACCCTATCCTACCTTCCTGTTTTATCCATCCATCTTATTCTGGGTGACTCGGCTTATTCTGGATGACTCGGCTTTTTTTAAATGACTGGGCTTAAAAAAAGTCTGGATCTGGAGTCTGAAATTGAACTTCGTTCAATTTCCCAAGTCTAGTTATTATTATTCTTTGGGAGTTTTTTCAGTAACTATGAGGTATCCAGTAAGAACCATAATACAGTTTATTTAGGTTTAGTATCTAGTTGGTGGGAAATTGGGTCAAATTTTTATCTAGGTCAAAGGCCAAGAACTAGGTCAAATCCAGTACTTTGTCACTTTTTTCGATTTTCTCAGTCGTCCTTCAATATTTTCGATCCGGTTTTTTTTCATTGTGTTCCTCATAAAAAAGTAGAAAACCTAGGGTCGATTTAGTTTTTTGGTATCTCAAACCGATTTCGAGATATCAGTGTCCGAAAACGAGGTCCAAAAATTCGGTTTTCTGAATCCAATGTCAAGGATATCAGTCTTACAGATAATTTTCTCAGGATTCCGAATCTGAAAACCAAATTTCGATCTGACTTCCGGTTCAGAAGTTATGGCGTTTTGAAAATTCAAAAATCGCTAATTTTGGTGCCCCATGTTAATTCAATGGGAAAAAATATTTTTTTGAAGTGTAAAATACGAAATATAGACTAAGCACAGCTAAACATAATGGAAGCCCATAAAAGAAAGGGACCTCAAAACCTTCTTTTCATAAAAATTTGGACACCAAAATGCCTAGGTCAAAATCTAGGTCAAATTCAAAGTTTTTCCTTATTTTTGCGATTCTGACACTACAGATTAATTATATTCTTCGAAATTTTGTATACATGTAGCCAAGAGTGTGCTAATAGTGTTAGCCTTTTGCCGTCAGAAAGTATTTTGACCCACTTTTGAGATATGATGTCCGAAAAGTAGATCAAAATAAAAAGTTCTCAAAATTTAACGTATGAGTTATGAATTAGGGGTAGAATTTTGTCAGGAATCCGAATCTGCAAACTAAATTTCGATCCGACTTCCGGTTCGGAAGTTATGGCGTGTCCGAAAAGCAGGTCAAAATAAAAAATTTCCAAATTTAACGTATGAGTTATGAATTAGGGGTAGAATTTTTTCAGGAATCCAAATCTGCAAACTAAATTTCGATTCAACTTCCGGTTCCGAAGTTGTGGCGTGTCAAAAAAGTAGGTCAAAATAAAAATTCGCCAAATTTAACGTATGAGTTATGAATTAGGGGTAGAATTTTGTCAGGAATCCGAATCTTTAAATCAAATTTAGATCCGACTTCCGGTATGGAAGTTATGGCGTTTTGAAATTTCGGTAAATCAATCTGATGGTATCCTGATAGAAAGTCAAGAGTAGAGAAGAAAATATTGAAAAATTCATCCATCCTTCCTATCTGATCCTATCCTATCCTATCCTATCCTTCCTATCTATCCTTCCTTCGTATCCTTTCCTTCCTATCCTTCCTATCCTCTCCTATCATATCCTTTCTTCCTATTCTGTTCTATCCTATCCTTCTTTCTTATTCTATCCTATCGTTCCTTCCCATTCTATCCTATCCTACCTTCCTATTTTATCCATCCATCTTATTCTGGATGACTCAGCTTATTCTGGATGACTCAGCTTATTTTAGATGACTGGGCTTAAAAAAAGTCTAGATCTGGAGTCTGAAATTGAACTTCGTTCAATTTCCAAAGTCTAGTTATTATTATTAGACTCCAGATTGAAAATCTGGAGTCTATTGTTTTTGCCTGTTTTCTTATTATTCTTTCTTTCTTCCTCCTAACAGATTTTCTCTCCAACTATAACGTCTTACTTAATCCAACCTACATGGTTGACTAGGGAATGTATCTGGCTTTCTGGGAAATTAGGTCAAATTTTTATCTAGGTCATAGGTCAAGAACTAGGTCAAATCTTGGATTTTCACTAATTCACCACTTTTCTCAGTCGTCTTTCAATATTTTCGCTCCGGGTTTTTTTCATCATGTTCCTTGGAAAAAACGCTAATTCCGTAAGGCAAATCGTTTTTTGATTACTCTTACCGATTTTGAGATATTGCGTCCGAAAAGTAGGTCAGAACAAAAAACTCTCCAAATTCAACATGTGAGTTATGAAATAAGTGTAGAATGATCTCAGGAATCCGAATCTGCAAACCAAATTTGGATCGGTTCGGAAGTTATGGCGTTTTGAAAGCTCAAAAATCGCTAAATTTGGTGCCTATGTTATGTCAATGAGAAAAAAGATTTTGTTGAAGTGTAAAATACCAGATATAAACTGAGTACAGCTTAACATTCTGAACGCCTATAAAAGAAGGGGACCTCGAAGGCTATCTAGCTTTAAAATTTGGACACCAAAATGCCTAGGTCAAAATCTAGGTCAAATTCATAGTTTTTCCTTATTTTTGTGATTCTGACATTACACTTTAATGATTTGCTTCGAAATTTTGTATACAGGTAGCAAAGAGTGTGCTTATAGTGTTAGCCTCTGCCGTCAGAAAGTATTTTGACCCACTTTTGAGATATGGTGTCTGAAAAGTAGGTCAAAATAAAAAGTTCTCCAAATTTAACGTATGAGTTATGAATTAAGGGTAGAATTTTCTCAGGAATCCGAATATTTAAACCAAATTTCGATCCAACTTATGATTAGATAGTTATAGCGGTTAGAATTCTCGAAAAGTCGATATGATGATATCCCTATGTTAAGCCAATGGAGTCGAAGATAACATTCTTAAGAGTTGTCTAAATGTCTATATTCTAGCTGACTCAGCTTATTCTGAATGACTCAGCTTACAAGTATTTGGATGACTCAGCTTAAAAAAAGTCTGAAATCTGGAGTCTTAAATTGAACTTGTTCAATTTACATGTCTAGTTATATTTATTTCGCCTCCATTTTTGGAGATAATAATAATTAATTATTACAATACATATAAAAGACACATACAAAAATAAAAACAATTAAAATGTTTATTTACAACCAATCCCTGATGTTGACGGACGTCAGGCTACCGCGTTGACGCCGTCAAGTTACTACTATCTGTTACATACAATAAGAAAAACAAGTTCTCCACCTAATATTTGCTGTTGACGGACGCCAGGCTACCGCGTTGACGCCGTCAGTTAACCTACACTTTACCTATTACCCTTTAGCTACAATAAGATATTGTCCACCTATCATTTATCAAACCAAATCTCATTGTAAATATAAATACATACATAGGTGTATTACAGGCTCATCTTGGTAAAACTATATACATAGACTCATATCGGTAAAATATCTTTGCTTAAACCTATTTACTAATTAGGTAAATCGTTACATCAAATCCTCGGCAACCGATCACTACTCCCACCATTCTTATGTGGATTTCAGTTTTTCTCCGTTCTTTTAATATACATGTCACGTACATTACTGGACATTGCCTTGAGTTCATCATGACTGACACGCTCATCGCCTCCGTAGACCAATTTCAGTTTGTTAGAAGTCGTCACGTGCTCATCATTCAAATATCTGTTTATCACTATTTGTATTTGGGTCCTGTTTTCATTGTTATTTGGGCAAAACAACGTAAAGTGCTCTAAAGTCTCAACTTCATGCTGACACAGTTCACAGAGTCTATCCCGCATTGGAATTCCCTCCCATTCTCCAACGTTTACTCTCAGATTACCTTGGCTGGTGAGTAGTCGAACCATAAGAGAGCATCTTCGGATATATCTAGCATCTTGTCTGGCTATAGTCCACCATACTAAAAACATATACATTAATCTAAGTCATGAGCTTTCAACTAGGCCAAGTCTAAATCCTTTTGAAATATAACCAAAAAAGGGAAGCATGGCATTGCTCATTTTTTAAGGTCTCATGTTATTAGGGGAACATGGGGCAAAACGGCCCTCTGGGGCAAAGTGGCCCATCGAAATATCTTTTGAACTATAAAAAGATGGTTCTTCAAAAGTCACAAAATCGAATTTTGAAATATCTGCCACCTTCTCGACCGTCCATTTTTAACCAAGCAGCGTCTCGCTTTACGTAAGAGGTAATTCTACTTTTCACCCTCTTTTTGGAAATTACCCCTCTCACGAGAATCTCTAAAAAATCCGGCAACAATAGAATATCGTTTTGATTTAACATTTTACATAGAGTGTGCACATTTATTCTTTATTTGTAAAAATTTCGAGCTTCAAATATTAGGCAAATTAAAATGACGTCTATTTGAAAATTCACATGTCTTTGGGGCAAAACGGCCCACACATGTTAGAACAACTTAAAATTAAATTTTTTGGGCCGCTTTGCCCCATGTTCCCTTACACAGAGTTGCACACCCTTCTAATTGAAAGCCCATGTCTAAATCCTTTTGAAATATAAATATGAATTTCTCATGTAATAAACTAATAACACAGAGTAGCATTAGCATACCCTTCTCTTGAAAAGTACCACGGAATGATCACTTGCATCTGGTAAGACACTAATAAGATTTCCCGGGAAAAAACATGACGTCGTCACGATCAGAACGGGGTTAGTCTACCCGGATGTATCGTGAGTTTAATGGCTGCTCGTCGAAATAAATTCTTGTAGTGAGATGGTTTTACGATGTGTTGCCGGAGGATGCTCAAATACCAAAAGAAATGATAACGTCGCTCTACATACCTTTCCAAAGGATCTAAAAACAGCCAAGATATGGCATAGTTTTGTACTTAAATCAAGGAAATGGCACTTAAGCGCAGAGGAAGCTCAGAAATCCAGAGTACAAATTTGTTCAGATCATTTTGAGGACAAGTTCTACGATTCAAGCCAGTTGATGCAAATACGATCGGGTTTTACAACGTAAGTAAGACGCATTTATGGTCAATGTTTGTTTATAGTAAGTCCAAAGTATTCAAGAAAATGGAATGTTTTGTCTAAAGACAGAGAAAATCGATCGCCAAGAGGGCTTTTTTCACATTTTTCAGGTTTCCCAGTTCCAAATATTCCATGTATGTTTGCTTGGATCTCATTATTCAAGGAGTAACATCACAGATACATGGTTTACATTACAAGCACTGGCCCAAAATGTGCTCCCATTTAATTTTTCACTTACATGTAGTTGGTGGAATATTCACGAAAGTAAACCTACATGTAGTCCACATGCTATCTATTGCAAGACTTATGCCTGGCACAACGGTCACCATGTTATTAAGTTTTGCATGGATCCTGCCGTGACCGTGGTATTGTTATCGTGACAGCCTGATATGAGCGTGACAATGCTATATTATATTGCAAGTCCTTTCATGACCGTTGTAAGGTTAAAGCCTTATATGACTGTGGCAATGGTTGAAAGGCCTGTCATGACCTAGGTAATGTTAAAGCCTGATATGACCGTGACAGTGTTCACGTTCTTGAATGAGATTAGAATTGTAGTTTGTGGAAATGAATTATTGAATTATGAATTAAAGTAGTAGTACATATAGTACAAATATACGGCCTGTAACCAACAATAGGTTTATCATAATACATGTAAATACCCAATGATAGAAGACATAGCCATTGTACTATAGAAAAACACAGTTATTTTTGATATAAATGCAGTATTGACAATTTTTTCAGTCAGCTGAGAATTCAACCAGGTGCAGTACCTACGATACTGAGTAAGGATATTCCAGAGGGCCCACTGAGAAAGAAAGCTAGACAAGAAAACTCAGTGAAAAACCCTGATCTTACAGGGGTAAGTGACACATGTGACATGAAGTAGGGAGAGAATAGCCCATTACACCCACTAGCCTTATCAATACAGTACAATCAAAATAGAACATCTAAATATAACAATATCTGAAGAGTCACAGAGTTTCACATTGAAACTATAATCCAATAAAATGTAGCATGAATATTCATGATCTACATGTATACAGGGGTTTCATTAGCAGCAGGCTATAGGTGATTTTCACCAGTTATTTTCACAAAATCGCCTGTTGTTTTAAGGGACTTTTCAACTTTTCCGTGCTAAATTCATGATTTCCATTAATTTTGCCTCTTGTTTTCATTTATTTAGCCTGTTGTGAGAAATTCTAGTGAAGCCCCTGTGTATATATTTGTATTATTTATATTTCTTCAGACTAAACTAACAATATTTTGTGTTTATTGCAGGTATCTTTGAAAAGCTACACCAATGGTCTTACTCCTCAAGAAATGCAAGATTCCCATACTTCTCAAGAAGCAAAACAAGAACTGAATGTGCCAGGTGAGCACCTTGAACCTTCAGAGCCGTCCACTCATTCAAGAAATGTTGGCCCGTGTTATTCAAAAGAGGTAGGATTGATTTGGTGGCAGGTCTCAATTAGCTAGTGGTAAGGTAACATGATGATGGAGGTTTTATGATCATTTGTCAAATGTTTTTGTTGGATTGTCTGAGAATTGACTGGACAATTACGGAACTATTGAAAAATTGTTCATAGACTTTTTCAAGTATTACTAAAGTACTGCTGTACATCCCCTGTGGTCTACATCTAACTCGTGCAACATTGCCATATATTTTATGCCATGCCAAATAATATCAATTGAGGTGAATATCTGTGTGTCTTTCACAAGCAATATTCCCTAAATTCCAAAACCCCGAGGGTTAGGGGAATATTGAACTTGTGAAAGATGCACAGGTATTTACTGAAAATAGAATTAAATATTTGTTTTAGAAATCACTGTTAATGTTCCTCACTCTCACTAATGGCATAACAAAGTATTCGGTGGTTGGCATTTGTAACAAATGGCAGGTGGTGACATCTTGCATGTTAATGCCTTGAATTACATTGTTTTGTTCAGTTAAAGGCTGTAAAATATGAAATGATAGGTTCTAATTTTTTATTTACAGACGAAAGACTCATCATCTCAGAAAATGATTGAGTTTGATAATATCAAGTCATACAGCAACACCGAGGCATCAAAGCTGAAGAGAAGATTACTGCTAAACGATATTACCAAGGATGATAAATCTGCAAAGTTCTATACAGGTGAACAACTAATTGTGAATCTATTAACAACAATAAAATGGTATTAAATAATTTTGAAATCATTGAAAACATGATTGCCCATCAAAAGTTCAATGTAGCACAAAAAGCTAAATAGTATCAGTAAAGTCCCAGACACTCCCCCCTTCCGCATGATTGACACACACGATTTTCAACATAAACATATCCTGATGTGTCTTTCATATTCATTAGATGGTGTTTTATATATTGGCTGCATGTGCCATAATAGTGAAAAAGAAGTTCAAAATTTGAAAAACTTTAAATAATTTCAGTATGGAGGCTTGCAATTGCCAAAGAAGATTGTGTCGGGATAGCTTATTTTGTTGGTTTCAGACAGCCCCCCACCCCTAACTGAGCTTATTTGGCAACATTGATCTTTTGACGTGCTCCCTTGTATGCATATTTTCTCTTATTTGTATTTATTGAGTTATGATTAATATGATATAAATTGCAGGTTTAACCCTGTTCAATTTGGCTCACTTATTCTCCCTACTGAAAGATAAAGCATCTCACCTAAATTACTGGAAGGGCCCAGCCACAGAGACTGTAGAAGTAAGTACAATAATTTTGATATTTTACAGCGTTGAGAACAGATATACTATAATTGTTTAAAATTACTGAAGTATAATTGGTTCACCTTCTGCTTTTCTGTGTTTTTCCACATCATATCATTGTTAAACATAAGTCGGACAACGTAAAATTGTTTTCTTAAAATGAATAAATACTACTGAAAACTACTGAAACAACATTCTACAAAATGTTAAAATATTTCCACAGTAAATCGCATGTATTTTATTCATTTGTAGTCTCAAAGAGGCCAAATCAGAGATTTAAGTTTGTATGAACAGTATCTCTTAACCCTTATGATACTGAGGAGAGGTATAGACACTCAACATGCTGCAGACATATTTGGTGTATCAATATCAGTTGTGAGCCGAACCTTCATAACTTGGATCAACTATTTAGCTCTTGAACTGCAGGTAAGAGTCATTGTTAGTGTATGAGACCGTGGGAGTGTTGTAAAGGATTTAGTTGATTTATATCCATACACACTCTTACATTTTGGATTGAATGGAGGAAAAGTCAAAATCTGTTGAAATAAGTCCCTTTTCATCATAGATTTATTCAAATCATTCTTTTTTCAAAATATTTCAAAATTCAAGAAATATTTAAAAAAATCTCTTTGGTAGGAATTTTGAGTTAAAAGTTTTGTTTACCATAATGCACTGAATGTGGGTTTATCGAATAATATGCTCGATGTAACCAATTACAATTAAATCAAGTTCTCTATATTTCTTTATTCTGCTTCATTCAAATATTACTATTTTTGGCGAAAGGAGTCTGCAAAGGTGCCGCAACAGCAATGAATGAAGAAATATAATCGGATTAGCTAATTAAGCAAATCCACCTAATTAAGCTAATTAGGCAACTTTAATTAGCCTATAATAGCTTATTCCTTAAAGTAAGGTAGAAAGAACTCATTTAAATGGTAAATTCTTAACATACTTACATAAATTGCTGGTCAGTTGTTATTTCATACCAAACCTGATGAGGTGATAGGGGCTGGGTAGGTGGATTTTTGCAATGCTGCTTGACGGTTTGCTGGCTCTAGCTAGTCTAACTGAAGTTCTAACATAATTCTGTGCCTATGTTCTGATGCCTTCATCGCAAATTACCTATATAACTACATATTAGCTAATTGGTATAGTACTGCAAGTAAATTCAAGCATGAATAAAACCCTGCATATTGTAAGCTTAATTAACTAAAGGTCAGCATTGGGCACTGGCCTAAGAGAGATAAATAAAACTTAAAGGACCTGTCCAATTTTATATGCCATTTTAAGCAAAACAAGCTTAAGCTTTACGGCACCAATTTCAAACTCCTTTTCAATGCTTTTAACTTCATTCAGTTCATAAATCAAATTATTACATAATTTTCATAAATTAGACAGGAGTATCTGACAAGAACCAATCACGTCATTTAACTCAGGTGAATAGCCACATTTGCTGGAAGCTGAGACTAACGATATGTGGTATGCTGTATGTTGAAGACTAGCTCCGCGACGGAGTATGGTAATACAGTAACAGCCTTGCCCAATGCAGAGTGAATGTTTTTAAATATAATGCATTGCATATACAACTTCCATGATAAACAATGTCAGATACATTAACTGATCCAATTGTATTTTTTAATTTCAGTTTATGACCAGATGGCCTGAGAAAAAGCAGATATTACGCAAGCTTCCCAAGTCATTCAGGAAACACTTTCCAAGGACACGTGCAATCATTGACTGTATTGAGATCTTTGTTGAGAAACCTCGTCGATCGACCTCACAGAGGAGGACACGGTCTAGCAAGCATCATAATACATACAAAGCATTAGTATCTGTTACACCCCGTGGTGTACTTGACTTTGTGGGCGAGCTTTTGAGTGGAAATACATCAAACAAGAAAATAGTGCAGTCATCTGGAATTTTACCCAAGATTGAGCATGGCGATGATGTCATGGCTGATCGTGGATTTTTGATTAGAGGTTTGCTTGCGCAGCGAGGTGCTTCAATGAACATTCCCCCAGTTGCAAATGGCCGCCGGCTTTCTGCTCCTGTTACTAAAACCAGGAGGATTGCTAAGGCAAGAATACATGTTGAAAGAGCCATAGGCCGACTTAAGAATTTTAACATCCTATCTGGCGTCATGCCCATATACTTGCAAGGTATTTCTAATCAAGTACTTCAGGTGTGTGGAGCATTATGCAACATGGACACGGTTCTAAATAAGTAGTAATTGGGGTGCCGTAATGGGGGATGTGCCGTAATGGGAGTGCCGTAATGGGCCCTAAGAAGCTGAGAGCAAAAGCATGTTCAGGCTAGCTGTTGTTACTTCCTCTTTATCTAATGAAAATATTGTCTGAAGTGTATCAAACAATAAAATATATCGCTTCTTATATCCAAATCACGTGAAGGACATAGACCAATCAGAGAGTAAGAAATATGACAGTGATAATAAATTGCTGTATTTTAAGAATCAACTGAAAAAACATTATGTTTGTTACATTGGGCAATCTACTGAATAAAAATTCCATGAACAAAACATAAGCTAATAATTAATATCAACTGTCTAAGTCAATACATGTAATAGAACTATTTTATTGTAGTATAGATATTTAATTTCACCCCAGCCCAATCTTCCTTGTTAATTTTTAGTTAATGAGTAAGCCATACATTAATTAAAGTAGCTTTGTATTTCTGGGATATCTGCAAACAGGATTGTATTTTACAATAAAAACTGAACGCTCTAATTTTTATATTTCATTATATATTTGGTGTTCATTCATTATTTATCTATAACATGGGTAGTCTCGCATCAATACCTGGTACATTACCCTCCTTGATTCTATCTTCCATACAGGATAGAGAGGAAGAATTGGGGGTACAAGTTTTTGATGCAAGATTCATAAAACAGCAACAATGACAAAAATCTACCATGAAAATAATTTTGTGAGCACCAGCCTCTTAAATTCTATCAATTGTGATTAAAATAGTAATTACATAGCTGTATAAAATTGTGAAAATATATCTGTTGACCTCACAATATACAAGTAATATACAGTTTTAACAATTGACTTCAAAATTGGTCATAACAATTTTTTCTACAATTTTCTACAAAGCAATAAACTGTTGTCTGATTTTTCTCATTTTCTCCAATTCCAATGTTAATTCTGCAATACCAACTCCCCTATCATCCAACGAATGCAGTCACCCATAACTCATTCCAAATTTTATTCTTCCAGGGTGGATTAAGCAAGTTCTAGGGTCCTGCATTCAGAGAATTCTCTCATATGAGACTAGGTGTGAAAGCCCGTTTATGTTCGGTGATTTTAAAAATCATTTATAAAGTCATACATTCCCGACTTAATGAAATTTAAGAAATCAGATTCTAAACAGAAACAGGCCTTAGCAATCTTACCAGTAGATGCTAGTCGAAATTTGAGGGAATTGAAATCAAATGATCCCCTTTTCCTGTACCGAATAGTATTGTCATTTAATAGTATTGTCATTCTGGTTATAAACCTTTACTTTGAAGTCTTGTAATGCAAGCACGTCATCTGACATGAACTAACAGTTCAAGACTTATCCAGTGAACCACATACCATATTTGGTCTTAGGCAAGTCAATGGCATGCAATTTTGATTTTTTTCATTGGCAAGTCAATAACATGCGACTTGATATTCTTCGAAGTTGTGATAAAGACAGTGTACAAAACATGTGTATATTATTATTTGTGCAATGAAAACAAGTTTACATTTTGTTATTTTTGTACATATATAAGATATTTAGAAATTTCACGGAAATTTATGTTTCCTTCGTGGCATTATTACTCTGCCTGACATTTGGTTAATATTATGACAAAAATGACATTTTGTTGCCATTGTAATAATCTAGCCTTGCCCAAGTCGGTATTTTTTTACTTATCTGATCTTGAATTATTACCAGCGGTCATAATAAAAATCAAGATAAGTAAAAGAGACCGACTTGGGCAAGGCTAGTAATAATCATGCATTCTATATATTTGAATATTTTATAGCATATATTTCGATTTGAAATCACAAGTCGTACAATTGCTAAATATGATTTATTATTTAAATGGTTAATCCAGTATACAACCATAGGTCTCAGGTATATAAATATTTGGATATGCCGTATCTTTAGACTGTTTTGATCAAAGAATTCTAGATTATCAACCTCACTAAGCACCCCATGCAGACAGATCGCCTAAAATTACATTCGTATGATGCGAAACAGACATTCACAAGGAAAGTAGAAACATTTTGTAACCCATGAAGCAAATTAATTTTCTGTATGGGTGCTAAGTGATCTTTGCACTTACACCTGTGGAAAATTGTCATATTAGAAATTTCAAAACTTGTTTTCATATCTGCATTTATCCACATGAAAAATAAAGAAAACTGGAAAATGTTACTTCCATGCCTTTCCCTGAGAGAAATTGTCGCCCTATTAAATAATACTTTGCAATTTTTCGTCTTTTAAAGCTATCATTATTAAATACGTTTAAAGAAAGCATTGGCCAACATATGAGCATAATCACAATTTTGTAACAAAATATTTGATATATTTATGCAAACAATTTCGCCACGAAACTATATTTGGAATCGGGATCGATAAACATCTTCATCGCACTGACGTCGGGGACAGTGAAGGTAGTGCTATACCAGAATCCTTATTGTCATAAGAGCTAGTTGTACTTCGGGAGCTTTTGCCTTCGCTTGTTGGCAGCGACACCTTTGAGTGGCCATGGTCCATACTACCCGTTTCCGAGCGTTCTGTACTGTTCTTTCTAGCGTCTGACAAAAACGTTTTCTCCATCGGCGTTCTCCTCAATGATGTCGCTCTTTGTTGTTGGTTTGTATTCAGCGTTGTTCTCGCTTTTGAGTTTGGATTTGGGTAAGTTTGCCGGGATGGTCGGGAAAAATTACGTCCACTCCTAGTTGGCGAAGTTGCCCCCTGATTATTATTGTTATCACTTGAGCTAAGTTTGAGAGAATTTGGGGATATACTCCTGAGTTTCTGCGCCTGTCTTCCACTGACTTCTAACTGTCCCGAGACAGACGCGCTGGTTTTCCTGGCAAACCTATCATAACCCCCAGTGTCGATTAACTTTTTATCATTCCTGAGAAGTGCATTTAAAAATTCTGGTCTTGTTTCCGACCTGTTTTGGTTTATTGTGCGTATGGGCGAGATTTGTCTTGTTTTATCCTTGTGAACCATAATACTCGTCTCCCGACCGTAGTACTTACTGTGCACCTGTTGGCCAGTACGGCTGTGGATATTATCAGGATTGCGGAGATTCGATTCCACAGGACGAGTATATTTTCGAATAAGATCTGGCAAGTCTGTTCGGAAGTCTTTGTTTCTTTCCGTAGTTCTAGACGGAGATGGAGAGCGTCTGGAGTCACTATTAGCCACCAAACCACCTGTGAATTGAAAATTGGCATGTGAGAACAATCTTTTCTAACGCACTTTGGAGGTAGATCAAAATCTACATGAGCTCAGAAAGCACTGTAAAACTAGAAGCGGCAAACAAATTACCGCGAACCAATAAAACAAATGAAAAAACATAGCACCAAACATCTTAATTCCAACAAATAAAATTCCACATGAAATAAACAAAAATGTACATTGTACAGTATTACAAGTCCAAGTATGCTTACCATTCTCTTGATTGGCGTACTTTCTCTTGTCAAAGGGGCTTGTTGTGATGCCGAGGTTAAGGCTCGGTGTTGCCGTAACTCCTTGACTAAGGCGAGGTACTGCCTGTCTTGTGTTGTGACTGACTTCTGACTTCTCCCTGACAACAAGTCGGTTGTTACCCAACGCCCGTCTTGTTAGGACGCGTCGTGGACTGGGAGGACTCCGTACCTCTACGGGGATAGGAGATTTCGCCCTCCGAGGTGAGAGATTCTGAAATTATACCAGTTACGCCTTGTTATAATATACTATTAATTAAACTAGAATTCAATCATTTTCCGTTTGCATAGCCTTGAGATTTGAAAGTAACGAGTAATGCCTAAATTTGATCTACGGCAACCGTACAGCGGCCGTAGCGTTCAAAATCCGAGAATGTGCAACATGAAATAAAGAGATAAGCAGTCCGATGTAAACTTTTTGTATCGATTTTGAGAAGCTACAGCCGCCGTACGCCCGCCGTATAGCAAATGTGACTACGGCTTCAGGCGTACGTACACTCCGCATTACACTCTCCAGCAGAAACACCGACCTGAAACATACACTCCCCTCTAAAAGATTTTACAGGCTACCCAAGGGGGACACAGGGTTGCCAAACTTTTTGAGGGGGTGTATAATGATATTTACACATACCACTTTGGATCCTTCTATAGCTACAGATCCCGTAGGTTTTTCATTATCCATCAAATTAACTTTTATCCTCAACGTAGGACTAATTTCGAATCGTAGTCTCTTCGATTTTATTGACTCGGTTCTCGACCGAGGCTTGTACGAAATCACCATCAAATCCATGATCTGTTCAATTTCAATTGCTTGTATACTGTAATATCCTATATTGTTATGAGTACAATACCGTTTGCCGTTTTCTTATTCTCAAGCCTAGCTCTTGATTGCTTTCTTCACTAAAATCTCTTTGGCTAGATATCATGAACATAGAAAAAGAGCCAGTCCATCACTGTCGTGGCTAGGATTATATAACAACCTTGGTGAAACTTCATTGTTCTTGCTTATTGTGCTTGTAATTAAAGTATATGTACCGCTTCCACGTTCAAGGATTTCGGAGAGAATTCCCAGACTACGATCATACATGTCATAGTGATCTTAAAATCTGATTGCTCTCGTGTTTTCTGGGAGGGCACCTCTTTTGCAAGCTTGCGTGCGTATAGTGGCAGTGATTCTGGATTTTTTATGAATATATATAAATTATTTATGAAATCGACATGTAATATTAATATCACCTTAGTCCAAACATTTCCTGTTTCATTCTAAGTACTCAAAGATTGATTTTACGGCTTTTAAAAGGGATCCGTGGGCGGCGGGGTCTGTAGACAGATAAGAGTTCTTTAGATGAACATTTCCTTATCCCCAGTAACATGCATTGCCTTAGAGTAAGTTATCTATTTGTGTTTTGCCAGGAAATACTGTCGATAGATGGTGTATACACATTTCTTCAAACTTTTCAAAGAATACACCAGCAACCATCAAGATCCTGAATTAACATATATTAGCCTATTGGTAAAGTAACTTATGACATCATCAGCCTACTACGGGAATCCTTGATTCATGACCTACTAACTTTCACTTCAACGGAAATATTGGGGGACCAATATTGCAAGATACCATGCTGCAATGAGTATGGTCGAGTATATTTAGATCGTGATGATTATTGGTGAACGGGTTGGATGTAAAAAATACTTCTGACTGACTTTAATTTTTTACTGTCAACATACATAAACAAAATTATGAGACCCAACAAATTTCTTATTTGGACTTGTAAATATAGCCTATAGTTTGTATTTTACCTGGTCCTCGTTTGATGATTTGCTCCTTCTTCTGACGTGGGGCATGTCGCCATCTATGGGGTGCAGATCAACGTTTTCGCTGAGTTGAGAGGTTGATTCGATGGAATGCTTTGAAGTCATGGCAGGCTCGGAACCAGGGGATACCTTTAAAATACACGAAGCATTTAATCATATAGCATAGTAGGTGGAAGGGTCGTATGGCGTCAGTGCCCCTTACCACTTGTTTTTCTCATAGGCTAATGGCCGATTGTAATAAAACATATGGTCGTTAAATCAAATTCGCTTTACACAACTTTCTCTATAATACCTGTACAATCAATGCTGTCATCTTTTTATCGGCCTATATTCTTCTCTAACATACTTTAATATACCATGGTATTTGTAATGAGTCGTAGCTTGAAGGTAATTGACCTTCCTAAGGAGTCAAGGCCAAGGATTCTACTCACCTGAGGGGCAACGGAAAGCCTTTTCTTTGAGGTCTCTTTCCCTCGATCTTTCTTCACATTTTGTCGATGATATACAATAAGTTTATTGTTCAATAAATGATACGTCGTCGTTGCACTGTTCGGGATATTCCCGACAACAAATTTGATCACTTCACTCAATTTAAAGTCCATATTCTCAGTCATGTGTTTCATGACATTTTCGTTAAGTTCGTCATTGTGGATTTTGTTCGGAAAAGGAGCAGATTCCAATGCGTGCTTGTTTTCGTCAAGAATCCACTCGTGTTTCATGGCTTCGGCAAGTGTCGTCCTGGATTCCGGATCAGGTGTCAGCAGTTTCTTTATGAGATCTTTACATGCTGGAGAGAAAAAATCAAAGCTAAATTGTAAATATGCTGTTATTTATTTAATTTATTTTTTATTCATAGTGGTAAATATGATAATAGGAACATTGTTGAGAATACAGTATAGAAATGGTTGGAGATAATTCTTTTTGCAGATGAAATTCATAAACGATTATCTCTTTTAATTTACATGTACTTGTTGTGCAAGGGCTTGTAATTCCTTTACTTTTGTAATATATGAGTTAGTTATTTTCAAAAGGTGGAGTGAACTATAGTACCTAGTTTAGTCAATAGAGGGAATAGTTATCTGTTCCCGGGAAAGTTTCCCCGGGAATTGTTACTCCAACTGAGTAATTCAGTCAGTAAATTGGCTTACACTACGATACAATTTCGATCCCAGCATTTTTTTGTATTATGCATGCATTCTATGTGTAGGATTGGATAGTTTTTAACAACACGTGTCACTCGTCGGGAGAGGTGTACTGTGATAAGTTGCACATTCAATATCGCAATTATTTGGCCTTTTTGAATTTAACAACTTTGACAACACTGGCGGATCCAGATGAAAATTTAAACCCCATTTTTGAAAATTTGGCCTTAAATGCCAAATCATGCCCAAAGAGAATCATTTTTGAGGCCATATGTAACTTTCGAGCAAAACGATTTTTGGGCTCCTACAAAAAAAAGGGGGGGGGCGCAAGATGGATCTGGATCCGCCAGTGGGATGATAACAAAAATAGGCGTAAAGCTAAATACGGTGAACAATCGTAGAACTCCTGATATGCCCGTTAATTTCATGATTTACGTATACAGTATATAAGTACAATTAGTACGCTATGAACGCATTCGTTTATTTGACTTGGAGCAGAATTCAAGCACATATGCAGAATACGGCGGTATGATCTTCCATTGTGTGTTTCATCTGGACGAACCCCCGTCCTCAACATAATATAATATGAAGTATTGCTGCCCTTGTTCGAACCCCAATACTCGAAAACCCATTATTACCCCGAAATCAAATAATACGGAATCCAATACTCTAGAAAGATAAATCAATTAAACTTTATGAGAATGACGTATACAGTTTGCTTAGCGTCCCGGAGGTGGGGATGGAGAAGGCGTGGCTTCCCACGGCAGGGAAGGACAATTTTACAAAAAAAAGTTCAAAACACAGCGTGTATTTAATTAATTTTGTTACCGTATATATTTTCATTAAGTTAAAAATATTCAAAAGCAGTTTAAAGATCAGTAAAACATGCAATGAAAATACATTTAGGAAATATACATTTAGACGGATCTTCAATCTCCTTTATGGCATAGTTGAATGATACGTTTAGAAACTAAAAAAACTAAGTGTAATGTATATAGAACTCTATAAATTGACATTAAATAATAATATGCCAAGATTTATTAAAAGTTCCAATATAGCAAATATCTGCCTTCATCAAAACTGGTCATTCTTAGTTCATCTGAGTAACCTGGTCATAACCGCGATATTTAAAACGCCGCCAAATCCGAACAAATCTACTAAGGGTTAGAGGAATTTCTAAATAGCTTTGGAATCTTTGTCATTTAAAGGACATGCGTTCATTAAAACTAGTCTTTCTTAGTTCTTCTAAGAAAGACTAGTTTTAAGAAGTAAATAGCCGCTATATTTAAATCGCCGCCGAATCTTAAGGAGTCCCGGCATTATGAACGAATCTACTAAACACAGTTTCGCGAACTGGATAAATGGTCAATTCTGGGAACAGAATGATAGATATAATGAAGAGGTTTCGCACAACAGGTTAACCAAATAGGGGGATATTGGAGTGAAACCCCCGGGAATAATCTCAGAGTTTAAAGATGACATACGCTTAAGTATAATGTAAATTTGTTTCTGATGGTCAAAATCTACAAAAATGGCAGCCTCAGAATTTTTATATGATTCGAATAATATTAGGCCAATGTTCATTTCTGGAGAATTTAAACAATGTCATAGGAAGGTGGCAAGCAAAATACGTAATTATGTCTGGTATCGTCTAAGCCTTTGGGGTTCCCCACCTCTTGGGTTAGCTGAAACGTACCCGTATTCGTATATTTCATTACGTTTACGAATACGGTATTTCGATAATTTTTGTTTCGCAGTACGTTTTTTGAAGTACGTAATTTTGAACGCATCTCAATCTGCGGCTATTATTATTGCCATGGGCTTTCACTAGTTGAAAGCCCATGGTATTGCGAACTAGTGTCAAATAAATGGCCTCGTTTGCTCTCAGGTTCCAATTCGTCGGTAGTCTAAGCTTTTAAAATCCCACCTCCATTCGAATTTTTGGTAATGCAAAAATAGGCATTAACCTTTTTCATCCCAAAGAGGGTCATTTATTAATTTTATTTAATCACTTTCAAAATAAACGATTTCTAGGTTTACACTAACTAATTCAGTGAAAAGTATACTTTGTAGAATATTTAATTTTATGAGTCATAACTCAGATAGGCTTAGATAGTGTTCATAAATGCAGTGACTCCATTATGCTACAAAATACGTAAACAATTTTGTTATAGGTAGAATTTTCTTTTGAGAATATTAAGATTGCACTAAGTGTGTATTGACTTAACATAAAAATATACACCATTGACTGTATATCTAAAAACTTCCAAGTTGACAACCAGAATGCAAGATGGCCGCCGAAAGGTTAATCAGCTCAAGAACTTCTTACCATGTAATATGTGTGAAATTTAAAGTAAATCTGTCTCATGATTTTCCTGGAATCGTGATAACAAGAAAGTGCATGAGACCTCAACCGCACGCCGTCCTCCCGTTAAGCTGACGGCAATATCATACCTTTTTTAGGTGCGATAAAAGCCTTCTTTAACTGTAAACAACGCCAACTAAATAACAAAATCAGACACAACCAGATACCTCATCCGACTTGGCACAACCTGCTACCCAACCAGTGCTGCATGACAACAACAGAACACAATCCATTATAAAATTAGCATGACGCAATGGGACACGGAACCAATACAAGACAAAAACACTTAAAGAAAACCGACTGTCAAACTAACTGACACAACACAATTAGGCACAACCAACAATATACAACCTCTAACATACCAATATACACAACAAATCCTCATCCAACTTGAGATAACACTAGTCACACAGATGGACACAGTCAAATACCTCACCGGAATTGGCACAACCTGCTACCCGACCAATATAATATAGCGCAGTCAGATGTCCAGAAATGAACCCTTTATAGTTCATCTTTCCAGGAAAGCAACAAACTTGGCACAGTTGTAGAAACACTTGATCTGAGTGGAAAATGATTTCGTGGCAAGTGATCCGGGGTGGTCTTCGTGGATTTTTTAGTCTCTGACCCCCACCCCTATCAGGCGGGGAGGGGGTACATAATAAAAAATAAATAAAAATGGTTTTGAAGTAATTTTTTAAATGACTTCATTTTGTTGATTGCTTCGAGCCTTATAATTGAGACAAACCAATTGCAAAAGTGGTGTTTAGTGAGGAAAATACATTTTGACCCAATTATCTAGCGTGAATTCATCTTTTAAGGGGTCAAATATGGGACATCAAGTACTGTATTTCATAGGATGGGCCAAGAAAATAATGTTGGCCCATATTGTAGGGCCTCTTTAGTGGGCCTTTTGGGCCTTACTTGACCTTTTTGGGCCTTATTTTTTCAATGTTATGCCAAATTTTCAAAAAGCTGGCCATAAATTTTCAGAATTTTGGCACAAATTTTGGTTTTAGGGCCCTTAAAAGTTTTTCCTCGCAAGTGCGGATATTTTTTCATGACTTGAAGTGTGGGCCCCCCTTGTTAGCTTCCGGATCCGCCACTGTCTTTTACAATACAAAGGGGCTTGGTTTAGCATGGGGAATTTTTTTTTTGGGGGGGGGGGTTGCGGGGGGGGGGGGTTCGAGCCCCCCCTTACAAAAAGCTGGCTACGGGTATGAATAACAATAGTAAAATGCTAATGGACTTCATGAGACCAACATATCTTGTAACTGGAACTGAATATATGTTGAAAGCAATACAAGTTATGGGGAAAATACGTCGAATTATACGAAATACTTACGTCTTCTGCTAGCCAAAATGGCCTCAGCCGGGACGAATCTAAATTGCGAATGGTCTATGTGGAACGAAACTGTAGCAATTTCTATCAATGCAATATCATTTATGGAATAAATAGTCTAAATAGTCGATCAAAGATCATTTATAATTCAAATAACCATGCATAAAGAATTTGTTTTCAGTGAAGTCGAGAAGAATTGAGTCCATCTGAACCGACGCTCAATCACTTTGTCCATTGGTGTCAAACGTCACGCACGTTAGAATTTTATTGGTTCTATTCTATTTTCTGCATACAATAATTGACGAAATTTTCTGAACTGTGAAACTGAGATTAGACAAAGCAATAAAAATCAGTGCTTGGCACTCCTGACAAGACTATTGACATAACCATTAACATAAGGACAAGATGTACATCTTTTATAACGTGCGTAATTGCTTGACACGAACACTTTTATCACATATAAATTAAGCTATGTTTCAAAAAACAGATTAATGACGAAAACAACCACAATATTTGCTGATTCCAGATGAATGTTCCCTTTCTTACATTTAGGTGTGTGTGAAAATCGTTTCATATCAGCGAGAAATTTAAGTAATTCGTTAATGCGAGAGTATGGCGGATTAACGTGCGTAACGAAGTTTGACACCAATCTTCGAGCAACTTATAAAGACCATATTGCCGCTTCAGAGTTGAAACTTACCACTGGATCTATAACATCGCGTAAATGTGTAAATAAAATACAATTTCATTTACACATGTGATCGCGTATTTTGTATGAAAATAGGCTTTCTAACGTGCGTGACGAGTTTGACACGAAAAACGATAATGCACGCAACTGAGCATAAAAATTATTTTCCATATATACTTCATATAGCATTGAACACAATGAGAGCTCGGTGTATCCTCCTTTCGAAAAAACACTCATCTGCCTTTTTGAAAAATAATCAGCCTGGAGCTCATGAATAACGTGCGTGATGGTGTTTGACACCATGCATCACGCACGTTAGTTCTAAATTGACATTGTCTTATTTTTCGAGTATGGTAGATTTATTATCTGAAAACGAAATGATTCACATAGGTAACCTCTGTAGACTTGTGGCAACACATTTTTCCGCCTCATTTCCAGAAAGAAAGATCCAGGGGATGTATCTCTGATGTACCCCCCAAAATTGCTTAAAAAACTGCAAAAACAGCTGGACACGAAGCCCAAAAAAGTGAATAACTTCAACAAATTTTAAACATTTTCACCTGATATTATCCTCAGTATCTTTTTGACCTCTACTGAGTTGAATAAAATAATCGTTTTTGGCTATACTTCTCAAAATGTTGAGATATCGAGCATGTAATATTTGAACTTTTGAGTGACGAACTTTTGAAAAAGACCCAACTCCAAGTTAAAATTTCTACGCCTTCCCTGCGGCCTGTAGTTTTTCTACGCTCGCCGCAGAAATTCACCGATTTAATTGATCTGCGGTCGACTTGCGGCCGCCGTGCGACAAATGTGACTGGGGTGTAATACCCATTATAAAACTTACGTAACCCAATGCGCCAAAACACATAACAACCAGATTCAACCAGACAAAGAACCACAATTCCGACTGCGATGTCAAACTGCTACAACACAATCGAGCACAACCCAATTATAAACCAACACAATACAGCCAACAAGATAAACACAACTAGACTTAACCAAATACTCAATTAATTATACTCGATTAAATCAAACAATCAAAACACAATCTATGAAACTGTGATATCAGTATATCCAATTAAGCTTCTCTAAATAGAGACAACAATCAACCGGGCAACCACACAACACAATCGTTGACCACCCGAAATATACTCCCCCCCCCCTTCCCGATCAGCATAAGGTTTCTGCTGAACATATCCTGGACCACCAACAATGAGGAACGATATAGAAGTACAGATTCTAACCCTTTTTGAAGTTCCGTCTACTTCATTAAAGTAAGGTCGTCTGAACTATTTGTTCGTTAATATGTTTATTTTCTGAAATATATTAGTTATGATCACTCAATCACTCGATTAACGGTATGCTATGAAAACTATTTTTAATGTTTTTAACTGATGCATTCACTGCATTATTTTCTTGCACTTTGGAGATATTTTCAGATTCTTGCAAAATTGCGTCTTGGAATATCTGCTTGAGAGATGTTTCTCTGTAAACACAAATTTCTATCAACAATTCACAAACTCTGATGGTACATTGTATTCTCGAATAACATATCGTTAAGAATGTTCGAGCTTTGTGACGGACCCGATGCAGAAAACGTTATCCTTCATTTTAAGGGGGGGTTTTACCACACATGGCGAACACTGCCGAGCACTCACAACTAATCCCATGAAAGACATGCTTCGAAATCTGTCCTTAATTGTACAATGCCCCACTTTATTAATTTGAACTAAAAATGATGAGATCTGATTACGTGCGATCGTTTCTTTATGTCATTTGATTTAATCCTGGCTGCCTGTGTTATTCCGCCAAGGTTAAAAAGCGAGTGACTAAATGAATAAATTACAGCTTCAATTAAACCAAAAATCCAAACCAGAGGCGTTTTTAAATCCCGACTAGATTATGTTCCTTGGTACAAAATTATCATATGTAGCTTAACGTATGACATTCAGGACACCTGTTTAAAATAGAAAACATCTTACAGAATGAGAAAAGCCTACATAATCTATTTCGTAACATTACGTCAAAGTAACTATAGAAATAGTTGTGAAACAATAAATACAAGTGTTTAATTTCAGAAGCACATTCGCCTGCGCAAAAGCAACCTTTAGCCCCTTCTATTGGGCTACGTGGTAACGCCTTTCATGTTTGAATTGTAAAGAGAAAAAAATATTTCTAGGGCTGCAGATGTCCAATTCCTCACTTTTCTAAGTTTTGCCATTTACAATAAGTAGGAAATTGCAACAAATCATGTAAAGTACAGAATATGCATCCATCCGAAGTTCTAACAAAAATATAAGTTAATAAATAGAAAATTGAATTTAACTTTATTGAACACAAAATTGGTGTCTTCTTCGAAAATAGTTCGTAGGTGCAGAAAATAAAGGAACCCGTTTTGGAGTTGAGGCTACCAAACATATAGAGGGATGTATTGTATGATATTGGAAAATAATGTATCCTTTTAAAAACAAATGTTAAAATAAATTATAGAAAAGGTGTCCATTCGCCAGTACTTTTTTCAAAATACCCGTTCATTTGTAATTGTCTGTCTTTCATCGGTTTGCCCCTCTTGATTTTATCAGGACCGCCCGCGTCAGTGGGTTATCTTCACTGGAACCAGACTATATTCTTGTCCGACGCATGAGAAAAATGATAATATCAATACTTTTGCAAATGCGGCGTTCCCCTTTTGCTTTTGCAAATGTTGAAAATTGAATGTGAATTGTAACCCCGGGAGTGTAACATTGCTCAGAGGGACTCGATCCCTTAAAACAATTGGACCACAATTTCATTCGTACCTTATTCGCAGAATCGATGGTACAGCTGTAGTAACACCAAGTAGTAACACTATGTTATTTCTAAATGATAAATGTCAAATATTACATTGCTTTTGCGAGACCTCTATGGGGACCTCATCAACTTTGAATAAATGTTTCATTTTTCCCCCTTGGAGCCCCTGGGTTTGATACCAATCATAATACATTGTACATCTTCTAAATTACCGCTAGTGACAAATTGAATGATTGTATTTTGATTTTCACTTTACAAATGTAACATACAATCCTGAGGTTACAATAAAGACATATAAAACTGTTTTATATGTCTGTACACAAAGACAATGGGATATGATGTAGTTTCGTGTTACCAGGTTTATCAATCCTATAGTCACTTCATATATAAAAACGTATTTCTCATTTATCAATCGCCAAACTATTGCTGGGGTGTACATATAATTTTGATTGCTGTTAGCTAACCGCGGGACGCACAAATTAGCTCGATCACAATTTCTTTGATAATGAATTGAGCTGTATGTCAAAACTAATTAGGTGCTTTCCCAAGTAGAAATTCACCAATCAGAAAACGTACATATTTGAAGAAAGATATGCATGATGGGATTGAAAAGGATGCCGTTTGTTGATTAAACTACTCACCTATAGTAACATTCCCGGGGAAAATCCTCCCGGGGACAGATTAATGTTCCCTCTATTGACCAAACTTGGTACTATACTCCACTCCACCTTTTGTAAATAAGGTCCACATATATGTGTATTGTCATCTATACAATGATGAAAGCAAATGACATCCTATATGCTTTGAATATGAGACATCCAGCTAGTTAGGAATATGAGCCAGGAAATAGTACTAATCTAGTATTACAATAGATGATTCAGGTATAAACCTTTGCTATAACGAAGAAATCAGTAAGACACCTTTCCCATATTTCGATCAACTGCCAAATTTTTTACTTATGATGCCATGAATTAACATGTTTTCAAAATAACGTTATCAATTTCAGTTAAAACAATTGTTTGGAGACATCGCCATATACAGCCTGTGACACCATGAATTTGGCAAATATATCCTAGCTTCTTTCGTGTATCAAAGGGTAGCATGGTTGACAGTCCTTTAGATAAGTGGTATCAATAAAATCTAAAAATCATATATAATTGACGTACGTGTGGTTATATTGTCCGGCAGTGGATTCATGTCAGCATTCAGCATTTTTGTGTGGAGAGATTTGATGTTGAACGGTTCCACGGTAAACGGCAAGTTCCCCGTCAACATGGCGTACATATTCACCCCTCTGAAATTGTATGAGTAAATAAGGGTTATGTACTGGGAGGTTTTGGATATGGGGTTTATCCAGAGGGAGATATGCATATCTACCTGAGGGACCGTAGGGACCGAAGGTAGATGTGCATATCTCACGAGGGATGAACCCCATATCCAAACCGACCGTACATAACCGCATTATCCTATACCAAGTAGAGTTTTCAGGGGCATATGGCCATTTCAATAGTACAAGGTGTAAAAATAAAAAATCAAGTCATTTTATTGCATTACCGGAAGCGGGAAGATATGCACCGAAGCGGGAGATATGGCGGGAGATATGGAGGTTCTGGATATGGAAACCTCAAAATCAGGATACGGGATATATTTTACCAACTTATCTCCCTAAAACTCTACTTGGCATAGGATACGTTTATTTCGTCATCCAACTGGGTAAATGAAAGATAAAACAATCAACAATAACATTAGATCTGAATGAGTAGCGCTGCGGCATCCATGACTCCTGCTCTTTTACTAAAAATAGCTGAGAGAGCGAGACATCAAATCTGAACAAGTGACAACCTAGAACTTAATTTGCTTGGCCTAAGATATGACGTCATTGACAGATCGTATAAATCCAACCAATCGTAACAGTATAAATACACGACGTCATAACAGTGCCGCCTTGGCCTTTTTTGTTTACAAAGCATCTTCATAGTGATTTTCTTGAGATTTTCAAGCTGGTCACCATTTTCTGCGATATAACAAGTATCTTCTTCCGAGACGATATCATCAGCATGACTGATCCGAATGAGAGTTTGATTAGACTGGTATTGATGAGCGTTATCAATATGATCATCCACGGGCCACAGGTGAGGGATTTTAAGATGATATTCGCTCATTCCTTGAAATTTTTTGTGTAAATTAAATGAACAAGATTAAAACGGATGACATTATGCGACGGTGGTCACTTTCACAAGTAGCTTGCCATCGTACGTTCTAAAACTATGTCTTCTACTCTTCTATATTATATTTCCAGTTGCCCAATCTGGATGGTTTGAGGGAAGCAAGTTCCGAGTACAGACGAAGACGTTTCCGGCGGCACAGAGAAAAGATGGAAGCACGCGCAATGAATCTCCGTCATGCACTTCCTGAGACAGTTCGAGCGCATAACAATTGGGACGATCCATTTGATTGACTGGATAATTACAGATGGCTTTAAGAAGGCCCAGTACAAAGAAATTAAAGGGCGCGATCGGTCTGTTAAAGGGAAAAATCTCAAATTTACTGACACAGAATGGGTTGAAAAATTCAGCCAAATGTTCAAAGAAATGAACGATACGATCAACAAGAGGTTTGATAAGAAATCAAAAACAGAGAAAAATGCCAAATTGAAGCAGAAGGTCATGCAATCTAAGGTTAAAGTTCTAGGAACATTTATGGAGCTATCGGGAAAATTATTAAACATCCAACAGTTGATTGATGTTGGTAAAGTGTGTGTTGTAAATGAGGCACACAAGCGACCAAATATGGAGACAATTGTGAATATGTTGGACAGTGGCTATCTATCAATCGGTACAAAAATAAAACATGTATTTAAAAATGCTTTCAATAAACTGTTTAAACGGTAAATCATTCTTATGTATTCGTTTTCTCTTTGTTTGTTTGTTAGTTTTTTTGTTGTTTTTTGTTTGTTTGTCACGTAAATTCGGGTCTTGTTTCGGTGTGGAAGGATTTGCTAATTTTATAAATATTAAATACCAATGAAATCAAGAAATGCATAACAAAATCCCCATTGCGTCTGCATTAGGGAGGTAAGTCACACGTTTGTAAGTGAACTTGTACGTAAACATGAAGAATAATGGACCCCTAGAGATTATTAGCTCTCCCATTCGGTGTATTTACTTGCGCGATTGAGTACAAATGTATAAGAAAAATCGCTGTAATCAGGTCCCTGGAAAAACAAATGAGATGGGAAAGTAATTCCTGCGATTAAAAGCAGTACACGTTCACGTACACGTTTTGAAAACGTGTAGCTTAACCTTCCTATTGTTGGAAGTGGTACCCTCGGCCAACTTCGTTTGCAAAGATAATCTTCGGCAGTTTCCGGTTTTTCTTGAGGTATCTTCGGTTGCAAGCCAAATGTCGACACCCATTGTTGCAAAGAAGTCCCATTGAGACTGTTTACAGAACTTCGTTAGATATTACTTTACATGTTCGACTGAGGGTCAACGTCCTGAAACCAACTCTTTACACAAGACAATATGGGGATTAAGCTACATGTATTTAACAGAACGATGTGCGTCAACATATATTATTATGACCCTCGGGAATTACTGTTTTTCCAGGGAACACAAGTGGAGAACTAGTCCTTGGGGAATCATAATTCTACATGTTTACGTTTTATTAAAACGTGTATCTTGACCTTCCTAATATCCCTTGTGTTAGAGTGAGATGATGTTTGTTTGTCGGTTCCGAAATTAAAGGTGCTCGCTCGTCGTCATGTAATTTGTATCAACTGGCAGGCCACAGTAATGCAACATAATTAATTGATGAATTGTTACTTACCGGAACATACCATTGGGTAATTAAAGAAACGTTACGATCAACTTATACATATATAAGAACATTTCGCATATCATGTAATGCCATTCAGATGCCAAATGGTACGATATGTTGTTCCTATCAAAGGCATAGAATGGAGAAATTCATTTCATGATTTACAAAGAATTCTCAAACAATTAAAAAAACATAATCATTTTGTAGAATACAATGATAAAATCTTACATGCTCCACACATCAACCTTTGGTCCGTATTTCTTGTTTCCCAGAAGTTCAGGGGCTGCGTACGCAGGACTTCCGCACTGCGTTACGCAGAACTCCGCCATACGACTGCCGTCTTTCGTGTTAGAAACTCGAACTGCGTTACTCAGTCCAAAATCTGAAAAAGTTCAACAATTTGCTCAATTTGATAAGATTCAAGATTTTATTGTGTTTCAAGCCAAAAGAATTGACTTCTTCACAAAATCAATTACAAGACAAAATTATACAGTTATACGTAAAATGCTTTGTTAAAGTAATATCTAAATATAACTATCTTACAAACTAGCTCATTCCTTTTTCAAATAGCTATTGACGTCGATTGAAAAGTTTATTTATAAAATGTATCAATTCGTTTACAATTTTATAATCATCTGAAATCATGAAAAACTTAAATTTTTCTTCATCCGACATATTTTCAAATGAATCAATTAAACTTAGATTGTTAAGAAATTCATATCTGCAATCTTTATAAGCATCGCATAAAAGAAGAAAATGCTTTTCATCTTCCACTCCCCTTATTGCAAAGGCAAATTTTCTTAGTCAAGTTAGGGTATTCGAGGTAGCATTGCAAATTCAAATGACGGCTGACGGATAAACCTACTATATTATGGCCAACTCATGAATATGAATAGAACCTGTCACTATTCCATTTGAATTCCATTCTATTTGAATGAATTGGCCATAAAAAGTATGTTAAACCGTCAGTTCAATATCCTAGATGCGAGTAGAAATAATCTTGATTTACGTCATTAAAAATCCAAAATCCAGTCAAACTGATGTCATATTTGGAATCTACATGTAAAATTACATCTAGAAATATGGTTTTGAAAAGAGTTTATCAACTTTGAAAATTTGATTTTATTTGAAAATGTTACTTCTAGGTCGGGGAGATTTCCCATAGCCCCCATGTTGTAAAATCACAAAAATGGAAATATCTTTTCTTGTGTTGGGCAGATAATATTTTCTTTTACTGAACATATTTTAATTTGTATAACTATCAGATACATAAGGGTAATATGAAAAATGAACCACTAAAACTGATGAATATTTAAGTTTAATGGAATTTTGTAATACCCTGCCATGTTATTTCCCCCGAATCAGCCACCTGGTGGCGAAACTGGTAACTACCTACTCGCATCTGAGTAATTCGCGGATGCTACCTTAATCAAGTTATGGTCAGAGTACAAACGTACCATTTCAAGTTGTTTCATAATTCAAAAATGTAGACATCGCATCATATTTCTATTTGGACATGCACGTTTTCGAGTAAGCAGTTACTAAAGTTGTTTCATTATTAACCTCGCTACCAGATATCTAGTATATGTTAATATTTTTGATTATGTTGGTCTTCAGCAGATGTAGAATTTAGACTAAATAATCTGCCAGGAAGTTTCCCAATTAGTGTACCCAATCATACCATGGGCACATCGCCTATTACGCCAAATACAGTACTGTACTTTGCATATATTATCTCACATTAAGTGTAATATATGTATTTATTCCATAGTTAGCATGATATTCATAGGATAACATGTGAAAATAAAAACGGTATTTTTGTAATCAGTGGTAAAACATGATATTTTGACAAATTTTCGCTTAACCATGACATACGACGTCGTATGCGATGGTTTATGGATTTTTGCTACTTCAGACTCAAAACGAGGCTAAGTGTCAACATCGCCGGATCGTTTGGAAAATTCGAATTAAATGACTAAATGACGATTCTGATGACGACTTTAACTATGGAATAAAAAGAACATCCTATGATTTACTCGTGATATGATTTTAATCCACTCATGGTTATTGATATCTGCACTCTCTCGCTCCACTCGCTCGTGCAGATATCATATCCATTCGTGGATAAAAATCATATCACTCATAAATCATAGGATATCCTCTATTTATTATGCAATATGCATCTCACATTTCGTGCAATATATGTATTTATTGTAACATTTGTCCTCGACCATATGCATTTTGCAATTCACATTTAGTGCAATATATGTATTTATGTTATCAATTCCTGACCCTTTATAATTGAGGAGATAATGGGAAAATCTGGATATAAAGTATCAAGTAATATCTCATATCATATCTTATAGACATATTGCTCCCCCCTCCGTCCCCTCCCCCCCCCCTCCGTCCCATTTTAATTATTTTCGATTATTTTTTATACAACATATGGAAAAGTATTTTGTAAAGTCATTAAGGTCATTAATTTTATGATGATAATGTCACTTACAAATATTTATTGCAGGTTGTGTAGACCGTTGATGCTTGATTTAAAGCAAAAACATTGACTTTTGCACGTTGGTGGCGTTGCGCCTTTTTTAATAGATCTTATACCTAAGAAGAGAATCGGCTACAAAAAAATCGTAGAATACGTGACATATTTTACCATACCGTGCGCCTATTCGTTTAGCAATTAAATCATAAACCTTTTCTTGAAAAAATAATTTTTGCAGATTTGTTCATTTTTCTACCAGAAATTGCTTGCTCCCCCCCCCCCCTCCGTCCCATTTTCACGATCACCGGGTGTGATACAGGGACGAAGGGAAGTTTGAATGCAAATATACAGGTACTCGATTAGAGTTTTAATACGTGTATCATCCATTCCTATTTAGTCCTCCCGATATTGATCGTCGATACCATACTAGTTTAAATTCTTCCAATTAGGAAGGCGTAAATCTTGTTAGAACATCGTGGGGGATTCAATGAAGAAATTACAACACATGGGGTACCTCCACTGAGCCTAGGACAATTATAGCATTCTGAGTTCTCAGAACCTCCTACATATACTACACTACCCAGAAAAATATGAAAACTAGCCATCCCTATATAAAATCATTACCTACCTATAATCTTTATATCATTGTTCGCATCTAACAGTAAGTTCTCCACTTTGAGGTCTCTGGAAAAAATAATAAATTAGGTCAGCTCTAAGAGTAACATTTTCAACAATTCTTTATTTGGACAGTACACCAAAGCAAAACACAAACTCTACATAACCATCATATTATCAGCGATACTGAAAAAAACGATACCACATGGTAAAACGGGTACCAGACAATTATCTTGTTCCAAGCCCATCCTCTTCGTTAGAACGTAGAGATAGTCTTGGAACGAGATAACCAGACAAGACATGCCACTTAATTTGATTATTGTAAATATACATTTAGTTTACAATTCTGTCATTTTCATTTAATTTCTTTCTTACATATAATCATAAATGTCATCTTTTCTCGAAATCAAATCAAATCAAAGGGAAGTCAATACAAGTACCTATGAAGGATCCCAGCTGTGTGTAAATAGTCCACGGCTGATATAATCTGCCGGATATACCTCCGCACCTCTCTCTCGTCAAGCCTCTTTTTCTTACATATATGGTCCATGAGATCACCACCCCGGCATAGTTCTGTAACGATGTAATAGCTGTTCTCAGTCTCCATAACCTCATAAAGTTGGACTACATTAGGGTGGCGGACTACTTGCAGCAACTTGCCTTCTCGTCGCAGATTCTTCCGCACATACGCATCTTCTTTGGCTTTCTTCTTGTCAATGACCTTTACTGCGACCTGAATTTCAAAATATTTACTGTCATATATTTGATATAATTATGCACACAACGTATAATAAATAATATTCACACATAGCAAGGCAAGGTGTGACCAATTCCAGTCAATCAAGACTAAATGCATGGTGGCTGCTGATTCATTCCATTCTGGCGTTGCTTCCCTAAACTTAGCACTCGATGCTATGCATCTCGTGTTAAGTTTGAAACATCACCTTGGAAGAATGATAATCGGTCAACAATGCACGAAAAATCTAAACTAACTCGGTTAGGATCTAAGAGTCGGCTAATGCATCGCCTAATTTTTTGCCATTTCAAACCCAAGGAATTACTAGATATAGTATCTAAATTTGATTATCAGACAATGATCGGGACTTACACTATTATTAGAATTACAATATCCCCGATTATCGATGATGACATTATAGAATGATAACATACGTTACTGTTATCTGAAGTACGTGTACGTCTACAGGTAAGATAAACATACAAACAGAACTCAAACGTTTTTTTTCGACAAGATCTCAATTGTTTCTACGTTTCTGACTTGCTGAGGCAATTCATCAATACCTTGATGCAGAACAGCATGTTGAAAAAACGATTGTTCATCGAACGTTGTTATACTCGCGGGGTCAATTTGAGAGCCGTTTTTAAAAGTACAAGATGTTTAATACGCCCGTAGTTGACCCACGCGTTCTACTGATAGAGGAATGTGTATACTTTGATGTAAGTGGACTTACAACTGATAATTATTGTATCAAAATTTCATTATCAGTCTTCTCACTAGTTATCTTTATTTACATTGCAAAGTATACTTTTGGAACAGTAGAACAATTCCTGTAGTGCTGAGCACTGTTCTTCACAAGTACTATAAAGGGTGTAGAATATTTATACAAACTATACGTTTTCATTACACACTTCCTTTAATTAAGCGTTATATTGCAATCATTTTTGAAAATCTTTAAAGTAAATCACCTGTCTAAGGGGATTGATCTTAAATATGCTCAGTGACATGTCTATCCAGGTTGGGGCTACCAGTTTTCTTGTGAGAAAATGACGATTTCAGCAAGCGTTTTTTAAATTACTTTTACAATGCGATTTTTATCCCAAAGCCCAAAAATATTGCTTCTGTTGGAGGCTATCATTAAGTTTTATTTTTAAATTGTCCGTATCTGCTATTTTTCGATTCACATTTTTTCTTCGACAACATTGACTAAGATATCATCCCCATGTTAGCTCACGGGGATATCATTAAATCCTCATATCTCAGAACAACATTGGTTGATTAAGTCTCAACCCCAGTAAACTTATGTAACTGGGTGGCATATGTATTTTCAATATTAATTTTTTGGCCTTTCTGAAAATTTCGGGTGCCTCGATTAACTACAAGTGATTACTAGGGAATCCATAAGAAATGACTATAATACAGTAGTTCTAATGCAACAAACAAACGTTGCTATATCGTTGCCATATGCCATTAACCTCCGACTTAAACCCCATGGATCGAGATTGCGTGATACACACGAAATACGTGAACGATGATATCGACTTTTCAGATTTCGAGTCTAAAATGTTTTAATAATTAATATCCATCAATACCACTAATGAATTATATTTATTACGAATGAATGCCACGATCGACCAAAAAGAGGTTGATATCCCATTCCGATACATATAAGGCATATGCGCATGCACACTACTCGTGTTGTTCATTCAAATAATATTCATAAAAAATATATCAGTATATTATTCGGTTAATCTATTCTATTGTTCAGGAACAAACATCCTTGACCCATCTTTTTCCAAACTAATACAAATGGGCACACGAGAGTAAAAAGTCACGTTTTGAATAAAAAAGTTTCAAAGAAGTATCGTGATTTAACTTATTCCATACAGGTATAATGGATTATTCGGTCTAGTTTTGCTGTTAAATCTTTCTCAGTTGCAATCTTTTTATTTTAATGATTGATTTTTTTATATTGGAAAGATACCACCTGGATTAGTCTTCTTATTGGCGTTATCATACTATCTGCCCTAAAATGAAACATTTTGCAAACGTACTGTTCCCTCATGCGGGTAGAGGTGATGGACGCTAGACTTTTAAGCTGAAAATCGGCACTCTGCCTCGAAGTCTCGTTGTTTATACAGGGTGGGTCAAGAAAGCGCAAATCAAAATTTGAATTTAAATATTTTCTAAAGACAATAACATAAAGTAAAGTATATATCATTTGAGGCAAAGAATATTTCAATTCCCAATATTTTGATTTATAGCATATATATAATTATCTTATCATAGTGAGAAAGGTGCGAATAAATTCATTATCATTAAATTGATTTCTACAGCAAAACATTTGTTGTTTGCAAGACTGGATGTAATGAATTTTCTCTTTTAATATTAAAATACAGGTGTATGAGATCACACGTATATAATTGATGTATTATTCACACGAACGGAGGATTATTTAGGTTAAAATAGTCTTTATTTTATAAATGTCGGCGGCTAGGTTTGTATCATATTTGTATCATATGCGTGATATCACGAGACCCTGATATTGCATTCGGTCTTATTCTGTGAATGGTTCGTGTTGCTATTCGTATATGATATATCGTTTTAAAGGAAAAAAATGATTTCCAACTAATAGTACAATATAGTACTGATATAATAGCATCTAGAAGTCTAGAACATCTACTTGAGGTGTCTAAGGAAACTTAAAAAAGTATTTATTTGTTCATACTGGTAAAATGATGTTATAACAAGGTGGTTAGATGAAATTATGGGGAACTGAATACTATTCAGAACTGAGCATTTCATTTGTAATATGAGTATAGGTTTTTGGGCCCACTCTGTAAAACAAACAGTGGTCAAGTTGAAAACGATGTGATATAACTATTCATACACACCTTTTCACCCGTTAGAGTATGGAGAGCTTCTTTAACTTTGGCAAATGATCCCTCTCCCAACGTTCTTCCCAGAAGGTAGTTTCCTACTCTTTTCGAATGAGGAAACGTCCTCAATAACTCCTTTGGGACATCCGTCACACTGTAGGGGAGATGTTGTACAGTTGTTTTTGCCCCATGTAACGGCATCGTCTCGGGGAGATGTGGTCGTACGTGCATTATCACTTAAAAGTATAATTTGTCTATATGATGGACGCCATGGATCATCATTCCTTTCATTTGCTGAATTACCACGGCGTTTAGTTATATGTGTCGTAGACGCAGGTAATCTGCACGCACCCACCTTAATATAGTCGTTCACAATATACAGGCTTTTGATTTCCATTAAATTAGAACTTGTTATTTTGTTCATCTGTTGTATTCAAATTGTATGAATATATAACAGATCCAATGCGTATGTTTCCAGTGGCGTTCAATGCAAAATAATTGTCCATAACACACGATTTTATAATTGGCACATTCTGGATTTCCATTTCTATTACTGAAGGTAAGATCCCAATACCTTATTAAACGAACGTGCTCTTTTAATTATCTCCTGCGACTCGTAAACATTAATAAATAATTGAAAGTGCTAAGGTGCTCACGTAACAAGAATCATATTTCCTGTCCTCACCTACTCCTCCGTGGCAAGATATTTTCACATATAACAGTCTCTATTATATTCCGATAGGACGATCTAAATTCATTGCGCACGTATTTTATCGCCAAATTATGATTTATTTATAATACACGAATCCATATGTTTCTGTATCACGCTTTTAATTCAAGACATCAGGCTGATAATGTTTCTAAGTATTCCTTTTAGAATATTAGACTCAGTTGTGAGATATCTAATTGATACACGTATCTTTATCTTATTCACCTTGTAACATGTTTTAAATGTTCTCATTTGTGTACCTTAGTTTAGTTCGAAACTTAATCCATTTGGAGTGTTAAGAAATCATGAGTATGTGTATCGTTACTTAGGAAAACACGTTCACTTAGGAAAACATGTCATACCTAATATGCTGATGCTTGTATATATTGATAACTGAAACAAACAACGTCTGCATGCGTCTAATTTGTCACCTCAGTTAATCGCGTCTTGTTATTCTCTGTTGTCGTACAATAAGTAATGTTTGTCTCGATATCACATGTCTTTATGTCCTTGGTGACATCGAGTTACTATCGCCATATTCAATTTCGAGTATCTATGGTTCCAGAGTTCCAAGAAATATGATTATCTCCAAATGACCACAATATAACTATTGTCTATTCATTCCTAGCAACCAGCACCCTTGGCAACCGGTCACTAAACACGGGGTGCTTCTGTCCAGGTATGTTACTATAGACTTATCTCCAATTAAAATATTCGCTACAATTCATATTACATTCCCTTTGCAGTTGACACTACCATTTATTATCTGACCTCACGCCATTTTCAGTTTTTATGAAAAAATGTTTTGAATTTAGGTTATTAGTCGAACATTAGCGATCAATAGCATTTCTCGTCGTTACTAGGTCGTAAGAAATAATTATTTAGATCCTCGTTACTTGGGAGATAGAACTTATGTAAGGGTATTCTGCTATCAGGTGTCTAATTCAAAATCAGAAATTCCTCTAGTCTTATCCACTTACCAAATTACTTTATTCCGATAAGTATTCACGATATCAGTATTGAAGTCACTGCCACAGACTAAATTCATGCTAAGTAATTAGATATCATTCATGGGGAACTTAAGACGTCGAGGCTTCCATTTCCCATTGTCTCTGTTAATGGATACAGGATATTTATAGAGGAGAATGTGAAGAATATCATGACATAAATCATGTTACAATCTGATCACCACGATCAAAACCATGGTCATTTTGTCAGACTATTTCTAGTGTATGTGTGTACATCTTACAGGACCGTAACCAGCTCTTGTCAGGGAATGGGGGTCATTTTGTCAGACTATTTCTAGTGTATGTGTGTACATCTTACAGGACCGTAACCAGCTCTTGTCAGGGAATGGGGGTCATTTTGTCAGACTATTTCTAGTGTATGTGTGTACATCTTACAGGACCGTAACCAGCTCTTGTCAGGGGATGGGGGTCAGTTAATAGAATTTCAGTGGTGGTTCAAGACAATTTATGTCCAAAATCACTGGAAAGTGCTAAAAATGGTAAAAACTGTTAATAATTTTGTAAAAAGATTAACCGAATCCCCCGAGTCGAATCCCGACGTTAACGTTCGACTTATTCTTGATTTTCAAACCCTCTCTTCTTTCGAGACAAAGCGAATGAAACGGTTAGTAAATAGAATGCTGATTTATCATTTGTTGACAAATACTATTGTGTCAAGTAGCAAAACAATGGCTTTCGAATAGATATATAATACATGGTGTCCCAAAAAAGGAAACCAGGATTTAATTGATTATTTCTGAAATATGAATAATAATAGGAAAATTTCACAGCCACCGTCTGATAGGCTACGATATCCACTTTCTTATGATGCCAAAGTTGTTTATTAAGTCCTAACTATGTCTGAAATGGGTTTGTCCAACTTTTTCTTTAATGAATAACTGAACAATGAGTGATTAAAATGGCTGTCAGGATGGTTATTTGGGGTTATCTCAAGGATAAAAGTCTACACAACATCACCAAAAAACGTTGAGTGCCAAGTGCCAGGATCGTTGCAGCAGTGGGGGATCTAAGGGGACAGAGAGACATCATCAGGGATACAGCACGTGCGATGAGATCTAGGGCAGACATTTGCATTGAAAGGAATGGGGGTCATGTTGAAGGTCACTGGGGTAAAAACAACTTTGAATGGACATTGAGATTTAAAAGGGGTGTTAGATATGATATGTGCAACTTTAATTGGAATAAATGAGTAAAAGAGTAATATCCTGATGTTTGTTGTTACTTATCACTATGTTATGATGGTGAGATTGACTTGGCACAGACCCATTTCTGACATGGTCACTTAAATCCCTCATTGCTCATTTTTTTCATCCGTGGAGGAAAATAGAACATCTTGGTATCATATGAAAGAGGACATAAACGCAAATGATGGTACCTGTGAATCTTCCCTAACATTATTCATTGAGAGCAATTTAATCTCGGTTTCCTTTTTTGAGACACTCTGTAGTGTAGTTTCTTAAAACAAGATCTAGTGTTCTAAATCTTTATCTTGGTACATGAACTACCTGTTTTTAAATAGTTCAGTCTCTTGGTTAAAACACAAGTGCTGATAAGAAGAACAAATAAAGAACAATAAATATAAAACATTTGTTTTGCATGTTAAATCAGTGCTGTATCCAGGGAACGACAGGGGTAAATAATGTTAAATATTATAAGTAATTCAATGATTCGAATGAAATACAGAAAATATTCTTCCCGAGAAGGTTGTATTTCACGATGCGCTAGCAGAGTGAAATACAGACGTTCAAGGGAAGAATATTTTCTGTATTTCACGAGAAATCATTGAATAACGTTTTTATTCCACGATTACCCATAAAACTTGCCTAAATCAAGTCCCTTGGCTTGATCAGAGATATTTTACATCGATATTCCTTCAAAATCTTTAGGGCCTTGTTGTTTCCTTTGTATTGTATTATACGAGACATTTGATTTTCTTTCTTTTTTCTTCAATTTCATCAGCTGGAAGTGCAGTGTAGCGAAACGTTTTTTCGACTTTCGTCTGCCATATTGGATTTTAAATTTTTTTACTAGTTCATGAAAACAATGTGCATGCTTCATATTGATCTTTTTATATTCACAGATGTGTGTTTTTATCCTAAAATTATAAATTGTGATGATCACCGTATCATTTCCTGATATTCAAATCAGATATTTCTAGAAAAATGCAAATATTAGCTTCCGTTGGTGTAAACTGATCACCATTGATTTTTTTCAGTAATAGTCATATCCTGGATGGAAATCTGGGGCGTTGGGATACTCTAGACCGTATCCCAACGCTGACGTCTTTTTCACTCTGTATCCAACGCTTAGTGGAATGTGCGTGTGAATACAGGATATATTTAAGTCACGTGCACCAATCAGATTGCAGGGAATTTCACCATCATGGAATAAAAAATATTATATGTCATAATGGTTATGAATGGGGCACTTTTTATATACTTATAAAATCCCCCCCCCTGGTTTCACATCTTCTAAATAAAAGGCCATAAACTAGTTTGAATATGAATTACTATAACGTAGCTATAACGTGGTATATGTGGTTTGGTAACTTTTTTTTTCATAATTGATCCGAAGATTTGTATGTTTTTCAATTGAATTGTATGGGGTCATTTAATAGTGGAGTTATCCCGTAGCGAAAATCAATTGTCTTTCGAAGAGACTACTTGACTGCCATCTATGATCCATATAAAAAGTATTATTGGAATCGAAACACATTATCTCATTATTCTCAATTGTGAAATTATTATCTCATCATCCGTATATGAAATCAGCTCATCGGAGAAAATCCCCTGCACATGGAGAATGATAGCAAAAATCGATCCCACTTCTCGGAACTGGAAGTTCCTCGCATAATCAATGAATACAGAAGTATCTGCAGTTACTCGATGGTGACAATAAAAAAATAAAAACAAAAATTGTGAAATTTAAAAGTTTGACCTACTTTCGAAAGTTCAAATGTTAAGGTCAAAATTGTTCTTTATCATATTTTCACATTTTAGATTTTTTAAAATGATGATTTTCCACACAAGAATGTTTGGTTAGCAGATATGCACTGACTCGACCTTTACAAGGTCACGATGACCTCTATAACACATAGGATGTACCTGAACACCATGCCATAATTAACTCCTTACTAAATACAATATTATATGTCATAATGACTATGAATGCTCATGGGGCACTTTTTATATACTTATAAAATCCCCCCCCCCTGGTTTCACATCTTCTAAATGAAATAGTTTGAATATGAATTACTATAACGTAGCTATAACGTGGTATATGTGGTTTGGTAACTTAAATCTTTTTTCATAATTGATCCGAAGATTTGTATGTTTTCCAATTGAATTGTATGGGGTCATTTAATAGTGGAGTTATCCCATAGCCGGAAAGCAATTGTCTTTCGAAGAGACTACTTGACTGCCATCTATGATCCATATAAAAAGTATTATATTATTGGAATCGAAACACATTATCTCATGGCATATATACTTATTATCCGTATATGAAATCAGCTCAGTGGAGAAAATCCCATGCACATGGAGAATGACAGCAAAAATCGATCCCACTTCTCGGAACTGAAGTTCCTCGAATAATCAATGAGTATCTGCAGTTACTCGATGGTGACAGTGTACTAGAACTGCGTTTTTCACCGCAAAAGGCGTGAAACAAAGGAGAAAATAGATGTGTTATTGAAGCCAAAACGAAGGATAAACCAGGAAATTAGATCGGCTTTCTTCATAGATGCATTGTTTATATATGGATGCTCCCTAATTATCGTGGTTCATCA